AGCTATTTCCCGAGGTCTGTTGGGACTTCCTGTTGGTTAGTGTTAAGCTGATAATGTCACTTGAATACTATAATTTTAGCAATATATTTGTATAATTTGTATGTCTTTTGATTACTAGGGGCTCTTTTAAATGCGCTTGGAGCGTTAGCTTTGGGGGCACCCGTCGGATTGCAGTAAGTGATCCTTAACATCACTACGATTATGACAATATTATCCAAGGCAGTCAATTGGCCTTGCTTTTCAGTTTTCATTATGGTTTAGAATCAAGTTACTGCAAAATCATGTATTAACTGTGTTCCTCTATTGTTGGATGCAGGTACTTTGAAAGGACCATTAGCTGGACTCTTCTGATGTCTTCATTGACTGTAAATTTCCAAATTTCAATTCCCTTTCCTGTTTATCATTATCATACATCTTTGAATGCTTAAAATTTGACTCTTTTAGGTGTTGGGTATGCATACTCGTGTAGCAATATGTTCCGTTTTACATATTTATTTCATTTAATTTTATTTATAAAATCCTAAAGGTATATCATGGTTATAATCCTCTTGCCTTTTTTCCTTGTTTGATATCCTCACTTAGATATCATTGTTGGATTTTCATTTTGTTCATGTTTCCTCTTAGTCAACAGGCAGTATTGATGAGTTTCCGTTGTGACATAATTATTTGAATTTCTAGTTGTGTTTTGTTCTTCAAAATTACCACGAATGTGAACCTTTACACTCCATACACGCACTAAGTTATGTTTTGGTACATTTTTACAGTTTGTGCCTACAGCTTGTGTTTACGGTTCATGTTGGACAGATTGGCATCGCATATTTGCATGTACAAAGTAAGTGTTTCATGTAGATGCTGACTTGCATGTACAACTTGTGTTTCTTGTGCCTACTGCTTGTTCATTTTTCAAGGTATATTAGACTTGGTATTGGTAACAACTTTTGTATTTACCGTATTATTACTTTATTAGTTTGGGTACCAACTCACAGGTGAAACAGAAGGGGGGGGGGGAGTGAAAGAGTACGCGGTAGGGTGGCCTTTAGAACTTTATTGCAATTTGTTGGCTTAATCATTTTTTGGGAAGTTTGTTATCTAAAGCTTGAGCTCACAGGCAGAAATGAAGTTTCACTACATGTCGTTTTTAGTATCAACGTTTTATGGTTCATATAGTTAGGTCTGCAATATAAATTGGAGTACTAGGTGAATGTTTCAATAGAAAATCTGATTGTCCATATAAAGAGGCTGATGTCTTATCCATCTAGAATTCGTTTTTACCTAAATAATGCTTGATTGAAATGCAGTTTTTGTGCTAGGGTTTTAGTACCTGCTGATATAGATGTTTGGTATCATTTTCTTAGGCCAAAAGGACCTTTGGATTTTATGCTTTGTCTACCAGCACATGGAGCTGTCATTGGAGCTTGGTTTGGTGCTTGGCCTATGCCACTTGATTGGGAACGCCCTTGGCAGGTAGCATCTCCTCCTCTTGATTCATTGTGACTTAAAACCAAAAATTATGGTTTTTACATTAAATTTAAGTTCTTGTCTTTCTTTATCGCTAATGAGTGAAATAGGAAAGGTTTTCTCATTGAGATTTATGTTCATTCCTGTGCTCAAATTTTGGATACTTGTTTTATACACTATTACCTTTTTCCCTACTATGGACACTTCCCTTTTATGGTTGAATTCTGCCACTAAGTTCTTGTTGGCTTGCCTGAGCCTATATTTCCTGTAACGGGTCTAACATTAGGGTAATCAAAGTATGCCTTTCTGTTCATGTTAATCTTGCTTATGCAAGTGGCATTTTTATCAATGATTGAAGTGGCTAACGTGATTTTGCTTTCTTCACTTTAGTTATGAGATATATTCAGGCATATCCTTTAATGGTTGATGTTATTCTTGGTTTTTTATTGTGTAAGATTTGTTCCATCTCCTTTGGATGAGTTGGAAGATCTTTGTCTTGGGGAGTTTAATATGTGTGATTGAGGAGAGTAGTTCAAGAGTTTATCTTATACTTAACTGTAATCTAGTATATATGTCAATCATCATTATTCTGATGTATATGGACCAAATGACATGGACATTAACACTTAGTGACTCTAGATGGAACTGCATTACTCTGTATAGCTGTGTGATAAACTCTCATGAAGAGAAAGTATTGTTGTCTTCCTTACGTTCTGCACTCGATACTTGTAAAGTGCTAGTATTCAGAAACATTCTGTCTGCATAGCTTTGCTGGTTCTTGTTGCGTTGTTAATGTAAGGCTGATATCAGCTTAGTCGAATTGTTATTTTCCCTTTTTTCTTAGGTATGTAAGATAACCGTTAATGTTTGTTGAGTAGAGTATCCTATCCCTACATCATTATTGGGCGAGAAGGTTCATTGGGATTTGAGTTGTCAGTTTGGATATAGCATTGGCTGACGCATTCAATTACCTTCACTTGGTAGGATTGGCCAATCTGTGTGAGTTATGGAGCCGTGGGTGGTTATGTGGCTGGGATGGTGGGATCCCTTGCTCTTGCACTAATGCGTACTGGAGGAAAGCAACTGAAAGCAGAGTAGATGCTACATTCTTTCCAATCCATTTTTGTTCACGGGTCTTGTTTATTTGGACCGGACCTTTGAGATTGTATTCTGATTAAAATTGATTAATTAGTAATGATTTTGGAAAATATTTTTTTCCTGTTTATTTATTCAATCCCAATGTGTCGGATCCAAGTTTGAACAAAATCTGTGAAAGATGACAAACTGAGTTTCATGTGAGCCTCAACACAGCTCTTGTAGACCATAGATATTGTGGAAGTCAACTTGTTCATACCATCGGCAATCGGCATCTGAGCAGCGGTGAAAACAATTACTAGCCTCCTTATCTAGTTTCTCGCTAATTAATTTGGTTTGGTGTTTTTTTAAGGGTAAAGTATAGTAATGGTCACTGAACTTTTTTAAAACTTTCATTTAGGTCCTCCAACTTTTAAAATTTGCAATACAGTCTCCAATATTTATTCCGTTTGTAATATGGTCCCCGACGTTACACTGCCGTTAGTACGCTTGTAATATGATCACTAAATTTTTCAAAAACTTGCATTTTGGTCCCCCAACTTTTAAAACTTGCAATACAGTCCTCAATTTCATTCTAAAACCCAAATTCCTTTTCGATATCGAATTTTCTTTAGAAAATAAATATGAAAATTTTATGTTAAATAGTGCTATATCATAGTCTTATAAAATCAAAACTTATATATATAACCTACAAAACTTATTATAAGAGAAATAAAAGAGAGAATAAACTTTAGAAATTCAGATACTAAATAAAAAAAAACCATGAAATTCCTTCCAAATAAAGCCAATAAGTTAATGAATAAAATAACAATTTCATTATGATAATCCCTAATAATTAATTAAGGATTATCGATCTTTATACTTAATGTTACATGTTCTAATTAATTAAGGATTATAAAACTTTAGTATGTACATATTTGATTTGAAATATGCTACTCTTTGTGCTTGTGTAAGTATGATAATCCCTAATAATTAATTAAGGATTATAGATCTTTATACTTAATGCGTACATGTTCATATTTGACTTGTACGTTTATGTATATGAACCTCATAAAATAGTATATAATAAATGTATACTATTGAATTTTATAAGCTAAACATCCAGATTGCTTTTGTGTGCATGTTACAAGTTTCTTTATTCGCGATAGGATATCAACATTAATGGAAGAGTCCCGATGAATCATTCGAGTACGATATATGATTACTTAAGTGGGCATATAAATATTGAAATATTTTAGTTAAGTTTGTAAATTTATTTGTATATTTGTTTTCTTTAAAAAATAAAGGAGCTTCATTTTTTGTATAAACAATTTTTTAACTTGAAAATTTTACGGATGTTTAACATATTTCATCATATTTCATTCAACTGGTTAGTGTCTGGTAAACTCTTAAGACATCATTTTGTAACTTTTAATAGTTTGTGAGACTTGTAAACTAGAAGCATTTTATATAAACAAACACGATAAAATAAGTAAATGCACCTTGAATAGATATATCTCCTTTGATTAAAGAACTTTTATAAAGGAAATTCGAGATCAAAAAAAATATTGGGGTTTAGAATGAAAATGAAGACTGTGTTACAAGTTTTAAAAGTTGGGGGACCTAAATGCAAGTGTCTGAAAAGTTCAGTGGCCATATTGCAAATGCACTAACGGCAATGTAACGTTGGGGACCATATTGCAAACGGAATAAATGTTGGAGGACTGTATTGTAAGTTTTAAAAGTTGGGGGACCTAAATGAAAGCTTTAGAAAAGTTCAGTGACCATTACTATACTTTACCCTTTTTTTAATTAATTCCATATATTTGATTCAATATTCAGTATATTAATTTTGATTTTATTTTTTAAGAAATCTTAACAATATTCACTATCTGTATTTTTCTAAAAAAACTAGATAAAATTTGGTATACACTAATTAGGATGTTTAAAAATATCTGACCTGTAAATCCGTCAACAACTTTATCATTAGATGTCAAATGACATTTAATTAATTTATAATCAACAGTCACAATCATGATTCCAAAACTGCATGGTCCGACTACAAATATGCAAAAGAATGTGGGACGCATAAAATTGAAGGTCGAGTTTCCATATAACATAAAATGAAAAATTGGGGATGCAGGAAACAGGAAATAAAAAATGGCGGGGGAACATTAAAAACGCACCAAAAGGGTCTGTCTGTCCCTCAAGGGTTGTGAGTTGTTACAGTAGATTCCGTGAAGAGACAACTAGACAAGTCCCTTTCCTCACATTAACCAACCATATACTACTATCTATTCTAAAAACAAAAACTTTTCCTTTTTGTTATTTGGTCCGTGAAAATTTTAAATGTTACAAATAACTCTAAAAAGATTACTACACGTATATTTGTTTAATAACATGGGGTTAAGAGTTATCTGTATTTTAATATCCTGAGAAATTAAGAAGGGATATTTGTGAATAGCATGTGAATCCCCCAATAATTCTCTCATGCAGCAGTGGGACCTTTAGCCAGCCCTTCCTCTTTTGTTCTCTTCCTTCGTCTCTTCTCTTATTTCTTCTTCTTGTGTTTTTTCTTTTTCTTCTTCACTCTCCCCTCAGCAGTGCCAATGGCCCTTCTTCCATTTATGCTTTCACTCATTGCTTTCTTCCTTAACCCTCACAATGGGGTTCACTGTTACGGAGACAAGCAGCTCCTCAACCTGCAACGCCACTTTCAATGGAACCACAATTCAGATACTCTTGCTTCCCCTTGTTTGTCTCGTAAATCAAGTAAGCTTTCTTTCTTTCCTTGTTTAATCTTTGCGTGTTGTCAAATGAAATGAACTACACTCATTACATACATGACATTGCTTGCCCAAACTTCACTGTTATTTTATTTTCCACTTTGGGCTATATCTCCATGACTGTATCTGCTCTCATTTTCTTTTTCTGCTTTTCTTTTTTCCTTTAGGAATAGGAATAGGGTCCATAACCGTGTTCATGGCTTCATGCCTTGTGGGAGACAGCCATTATTGCCCTTCTCTTTATCTCTCTCTTTCTCTTTACATTTACTCCAGAGTGGAATACTATATGAACTGTACTTTAAGTTTACCTTGATTTTGCTTTCGTTAGATTATGCAATTATTATTGACTTCTATATGCTTTTACTTTTATTATATAATAAATATCTCAGCCTTTCATTGATAAAAGAAATCTCAGCCTTTCAATTTAGCTTAACTAATTGGCTTTACTGCTTTTGGTCCATGGATATGATTGCATACCATCCAATCCATACATACATATACTTGTTTTTCTTGCATATCAGCATTTTGCTTAAAATTATGGGGTTTTCCCCTTCTTTTATCTCATTGGTTTCGCATTTTTTTTTGTCATTGTTATGCTTTCTTCTTTCTTAAGGCAAAATTATGTTTGATTAAGGGTAGGCATAATTATATATCTTTACCCCTTTGGTTTTGGATTTTTAGGGAAGGAGAAAGGTGCAACTATATTGGAAATGAAGCACCGAGATTACTGTTATGGAGGAAGGCACAAAGACTGGAACAAGTTGCTTAATAAACGCCTGATTTTGGATGATCTAAGAGTTCGGTCATTGCAAACCCGAATCAAAAAGACAATGTCACCTGCTGAAAAACAAGATGTTTCAGTTGCTCGAATCCCCTTAACTTCTGGTGTCGAACTTGGGACACTAAACTACATTGTTACGGTCGAAATAGGTAGTCGGAAAATGACTGTGATTGTCGACACCGGAAGTGATTTGACTTGGGTTCAATGCCAGCCTTGCAAATCATGTTATGGTCAAAAAGAACCTATCTTCAACCCTTCAGCATCTCCTTCCTACCGAACAGTCTCATGTAATTCATCTGAGTGTCAGTCGCTTGCATTTGCAACTGGGAACACGGGAATCTGCGGGGAAAACCCGCCAACATGTAACTATGTCGTTAGCTATGGCGATGGATCCTACACTCGAGGCGATCTAGCTCATGATCGTATCAATCTAGGGAAGACTCCGGTGGAAAATTTTATATTTGGATGTGGCCGGAACAATAAAGGTCTGTTCGGTGGAGCTTCTGGCCTGTTGGGACTAGGGAGGAGTTCTATCTCTCTGGTTTCTCAAACTTGGGCAATATTTGGTGGTTTTTTCTCCTATTGTCTGCCTTCAACAGAATCTGGGGCTTCTGGTTCATTAGTTTTGGGAGGCAGTTCATCAGTTTACAATACTTCAAACCCCTTTTCTTACACTAGAATGATCCCAAATCCAAAGCTATCAACTTTCTATTTCCTCAACCTTACCGGTGTCGGTGTTGGTGGGGTGACACTGCGAGATTCAAGCATCGGGAAGACCACGATGCTTATCGACTCCGGGACCGTTATCACAAGGCTTCCTCCAACACTCTACAAGGCCTTGAAGACAGAGTTTCAGAAACAATTTTCGGGCTTCCCAACCGCACCAGCTTTCTCGATCTTGGATACTTGCTTTAACCTTAGTGCGTATCAAGAAGTGGATGTCCCTACACTAAAATTGCAGTTTGAGGGTAATGCGGAGATGAATGTGGACGTCACTGGGGTCTTTTACTTTGTAAAGACAGATGCATCTCAGGTTTGTTTGGCTCTTGCAAGCCTCACATTCGAAGACGAAATCGGTATCATTGCGAATTATCAGCAAAGAAACCAAAGGGTTATATATGATACAAAAGGGTCTAGGTTGGGATTTGCCCAGGAAAGTTGTAGTTTCTCCTAGGCAGAAAAAACTGCAACGGTCGGCAGCTTTGGATATTTATACATATAACTACAATATTTTCAAAGCCAAATGATATGTTGGTCGTTAACAATATCTATACCCTACCAATATCATATGAAGGTATAGAGTATCCTTGCACTATTTATTTCAATATATGAAGAAAGATTCTGAGTGTGTAAAATCAGCATTGACGATGTCAATAATTTCATTGCTCTTTTACCCTAAATGTATATATATGATGTAACAAGCATTTTGCCAGTCAATCAAAGGTCAAATGAAATTCAAGCAGAGAATGACAGACAGATAAACAGAATCTGCTCCCCATCTTGAAACTGTCTCAGTGAAACTGATTGTCTTGACGTCGAGTTCTACTATCAAATGTTGGATTCTCAAATTTTATACTATAAGTAGACCTCGACGAACTCCCCAGAGTTATGCTAATATGCTATTTGTGTTCTTGACTTTCATCATAAAACTAAGTATTCATCGACTATACTCATCTCATATCAATCCTTCTGCATACGGTAGGTCCGTTCTTAACCTATTGACAATGCATGTACACTCCGTAGATACAATTCGAATTTAAGACATTTAGAGAGAACAACATCCTTTTTTATTACTTAAGTTATTTAAAGAGTTCCTATTTTTCTAAAATGAGTGGTTGAGAAGGATTTAATAACTTTAGTTATTTTTTTTTGAATTAATCATTGATATCGGATCAATTGACCGACTAATTCATATCAAATTTATAAAATATTCATTATGCGAGCGACACATCCAATCCAATATGGGCCATTCGCAAATAATAAAGCTACAATCTCTTAAAATCTTAATAATTTATTCAATCAACTATTAATTAATTATATTTTATACTACATAATAAAAAAATTGTGGCAAATTTAAAAATACTTGATTGGTCAACTAAGACATCTTCACAAGTTGCTTGCAAGCTATTAGATCCATGTGTGCATGAATGAACTTGTTGAAACGATTTTTTTTAAAGGTTAAAATTTGAAAATCACATTCATTTTTAATTTATCTCTTTCAATTAATTTTTAATTTAAAAAAATGCGGTTTAAAAACTTCTCGTTTTGAAAAATTTTGGATTTCCTTTACGATCGAAAAAATATGGTTCAAAGAGTCGCCACCAATCTTTGATTAGGGTGTGATTGGGCACCCAAAAATGTTTGTTATTTTAAATAAAAATTAATTTTAATTAAAACAACAAATTAAGGTCTGTGTTACCAAAATCCGAGTTCGAGAGTCGGTTACGTGCAGGGAATGATTAGCACCCCCACAACGCCCTAAAACGGTACCTAGTCGATTAATTTGTGTCTTTGCAATGAACTTTACAAATTCAAATTTAATTTAATTTTTTATCCCGTAAAACAAAGAAGAAGAAAAAACATTCAAAAGCACTCAAATAAATTAAATTATAATTACAAAGTCGTTTTAGAAAGATAAAAAATATTAGATTATTTACAAATATCGAGACCAGATCTTAAAAGCTATAACAACCTTTTCTCGATAAATTTAAATAAACGAACATTTCCTTTTCTTTCGTTCCCAAATTTTAGGTGACGAATCAATTTTTGGTTTCACTTCCGGGATACACTTTTAATTTAAAATGGTCATAACGGCCCTCTAATCAGTTAAGACAGGCAACTCAAGAATATTTTAAATTAAAAGGGTATTACCCTTAGTCCGATTATGTAATAGGTCGAGTTATGCACGTGAGGCTATCATTCAAATTATGCAAAAAGTGGATGTCATGCCAAAATTAATTAAACTAAATTAAAAATATTATACAACGTGACATACAAAAAAATTATATACATACATTTAAAATTAAAAATATAAACAATGCATATTAACATATAACGTACAAATATGACTCAAATATAAAACAAAAATTTAACATATTAAACTATAAATTTTAAAAAAAATATATATTTACATGTTAAAATAATGACTAGATTTAAATATATGTAAAATTAAACATACAAATCGAAAATTAAACTAGGGACTTAAATAAAAACACGCATAAATATAAGGGATTTAAACATGAATAATCTAATGAAATTACAACTAAAATTAAAACTGGAAAAATAACGAAATCAGGACAAACACAAAAGGTTAAATTCGAAAGCAATCCTAAAAGTGACTAAAGTGTAAATATGAGGCTAAAATACAAGGGCACCAGAGCAAATTATCCTAACATTTAGGTGGCTGGAAATTAATTAACCAAAAATATTAATAAATAAAACCTAAACTAAGTAAAAAATCTAACCTAATTACACCTACCCAACATCACGTTTCACTTTTCAGTTTCCCTAGCTCACGCCTCACTCTTCATTTTTCTTTTTCAACACTCTCCCTCTCATTATCACGCAAGCTGCAGACCAGCAAAGGAAGCCGACTGCCGCTCTTCCCCTTCAACCACCATCGCTGCCACTCCCTCCTTTGAACACCGCCGCCGTCGCTCGGCAACCATAAACGCCGATTGGCCACCGCGATGGCCAAAGAGACCAAATAACACCTTAATCAACATAAAACACTTTGTTCTAATATCCTAACCTTTATCTTCTCTGTTTTAACCCAAAAACAAGACTAAGGCCAATATGCAAAACCCCTACCCCCTAAAGAGGATCGACTGTTCAATTTCCTAGCCCCGGCGGCAAGTCCCTGTCAACGAGATCACTAACAAAAGGTAAACTACTCTCATCTTTTCCTATATTTTGGTTCAAATCAAAGAGATGGTTGCAAAGAAAAAACGTAAAAGGGAGACAAAAACTACCTCCCAAAAGAGATTCATTTTCTGTTGTAATCCTTTTGTTTTGAAAATGATGAGAATTTTACATGGGTTGTTTCTTTTTCTATTTTGTTTTGGTTTCGAGATAAAGAAAATATGGTTGTTTGAAATGCAAAAGAAAGAAAACATTTCGAGAAATTTTTGTTGTGTATCTGTTTGCTATGAATTTTCCAGGGGAACAAATGATGGAGGAGAAGCCTTCCTTGCTTTCTACTTTTTCTTTCCCAATACAACGCTCTCAACCAACACTGCTGCGTGATGAAACTACTACCAGCCGAGCTTTTCCTAAAACAAATTTCAATCTAGACCCGAAGCATAACAGGTATATCGAGACTAACTTAATATTTCTACTTGCTTCGAATAAAAAAACGACAAATATGCATGCTCAGTATTTATAAAGTATAAAGAAGATAACTTGCTTGTATTGATTCTACTGCTTTTCAGAAGAGTAAGCCGAATCCTTTGTTACACCAATTGATCTTTGAATGTGGCAAAGAAATATCTTACACACACTGTTTTTGTTCCTTCTCTATTGTGTAAAAAAATAAAAATGAAAAATGGTCCCTCGTCCCTCGTCCCTCTCGTAATGGTAATGAATTATTGATCTCTCCAGTTCTTTTTTCGTTCCTTTCTGTATATTCTTTGATAGTTGATCTCTAATCCTCCCCCCTTTTCTCCTCTTTTTTCTTTATTGATAATTGTTTTTAATTAAAACTGACTCTTATAGTTTCCTGAGTGCTCAATATCACTCCCACGATCAAACACTACTTTCCCCTCATTTTCGCTTGCTAACTGTTCTTGTTTTGCAGGACTTCACGTGGACTGAAGTCTCCAATCAACATTGCTGATTTGGGCTCCTACTGGTCCAAATTTGTATCGTTTACTGTATACGAAGCCTCTGATAAAGTCCCCGGACGAAATCGAGCATCTACTGCTGCCCCTCTTTGCTCATTGTCGTATAACGAGAATAGAGCAAAGATCAAAAGATGATTGAGTTTGTCCGGTCCTAAGAACTTCAAAAGATTAAAGCACCTCACTGTTACTTCGGGATAAATGAAACTTGAAAAATCTTCGAATGACGGGTCTGCTCCCTATCCCTTCAGGGAGTATAAGACTAGACCAATCTTCAGCAAACGTGTCTGCTCCCTATTCATTCAGGGAGTATAAGACTCGATCAATCTTCAACAAATGTGTCTGCTCCCTATTCATTCAGAGAGTATAAGACTCGATCAATCTTCAATAAACGGGTCCGCTCCCTATTCGTTCAGGGAGTATAGAACTCGAACAATCTTCAACAAACAGGTCTGCTCCCTATTCCATCAGAGAGTATAGAACTCGATCTTCATAAAATGAGTTTGCTTCACTACTCTTCCGTGAAGGCTTAAGATTGACTTGTTTCGAAGGTCAACCCTAAAAATCAAACATTATCAATCATGAACATATGTTTGAAAATATTATATTCAAAAATTTAGAATTTGAGAAATTTTTTGAAAATCCATCTCCATCGTGAAAACTTGTGTGGAAGCCATTGGATATGTGAATCTACTTTGGCTTAGTTTTCGTCTAAACATCATTCTTTTCAAGATCTCAAAACTAGTTATCGTCATCTTGATATTTCCATATCTTCAATCTTCAACTATCCCTGGGAAACCTGTAGATACTTAAGTCATCATGCAATTATGAGTGTCATGATCCTATTAATGCCTAAATGTATGCAATTTGATGCATTTTCTTCTTCGAAGGAACTCTATCTCCTTTTGATCTTGATGAAACTCGGTTTCATCTTGGGCACATAACATTTGACCAGTTCACCCCAGCTAACAATCTCAATTCCATATCTCTCGACTTAACAGGACCTCGACTCCTTTCTTTCTTGAAACCCACCAGTACTCATGACCAACTTCTTTATCAATGACAATCTCTTTGGGTCTTTTTATCATGGCTGAGATTTTCTATGAATTTCAAGATTTTAGTTTCCCGTAACCACACAAGCTTACATGTTAAAACCATCATCAGCTTCAGAATACCTGCATTTTCCAAAACCTTTTGCACAATAATACAAAATGATCTTATGTACTTCAAGTTAAGATATATGTTTTAACTTTTCAAAATAAGATGCTTGCAAAAAGGAAACTAACAAGAAAATACATCTCTTTATTTATATAAATGCAAAGAATTTTTAGGTAACTACATAGCAAACTTTTAACTGGGAAAAAAAAGAACAAAAGAGTAGGCA